ATGTTTGATTCATCGGCTCAGATCACTCACAGAGCCAAGTAAGCGAGACTCACCAAATTAGGGTTTTCTTTTTTCCCCCTTTCGTTTCACCAAATCTGGAGATTGATTGATTTCAAAGTATTCCCCTTTTTGTTCGTTCATTAGATCTTCTCTTATTTTTCTTTAAAGATTCGTGCTTTTTGCTTAATTGATTTCTCTGGGTTGATCTGTAAACATTTATTTGTGTATATCTTTTGAAAAATCTTATGGTTATTGCTCTTTTTGCATGCGATTCATTTATAATCTGAACAAGATCATCGATTAAACCTTTATCTTCATGCTTCACTTATTTAAGAAAAGATTGTTTCTTTTTGACTTATTTTGCAGATAGGATATATAGCAAAGAAGGTGGTGGTCCTGTGGGATTTGAATCATTGAGGGAAAGTGTTAATTTTTTTTTCTTGAGTTGTCTGTGGTATTGTGGGTTGGTTCTTGGAATAGATGGCAGAAGTTCATGATCAACTAGAGATCAAGTTTCGGTTAACTGATGGTTCGGATATTGGTCCTAAAGCATTCCCTGATGCTACAACTGTTGCTGCTTTGAAGGAAACTGTTATTTCTGAATGGCCTAGAGGTCAGTTTTCATTATGCTTACGCCTTTCAGATTCTTCTTACATTGTGTGTTCTGAGATTGTAAATGCTTGGAACTATGGTTTGGTCGATATGAGAATCATGTCCCAATAAGATATCTTCTGCAAAAGAAATTTCATAAGATTTCCTGAGTACTTGCTCTAGTTTCACTTGTCTGTCTCTCTTGAATTGGTTTGGTATTATTCACTTGTCTCTCTTGGATTGCTAGAGAAGGTTATCATCATTGCAAGATTTTGCAAAAGTTAGAGACTTTGTAATGTGGTTTGGATTAAATCAATTGTCTTTCTCTTTGTTTTGTCATCAATTAGCTGAGAAGGATGATGGTTTTGCTTTACATATGCTTGAAGACTCAAGTATCCATTACTCTAATATGAACCTGTGTTTAACTTTTTGTTACTGATTATCGTAACTTGTCATTGATTCTGTTTGTGTTTGATTTGAGTAGAAAAGGAGAATGGACCGAGGACAGTGAAAGAGGTGAAGTTGATAAGTGCAGGGAAAGTATTGGAGAACAGCAAGACGGTTAAAGACTACCGAAGCCCTGTCTCTAATCTCGTAGGCGCTGTCACCACAATGCATGTCATCATCCAACCTCCCGTTACTGAAAAAGGTCAACTTTCTTTCTAAACATTCAAAGAGAGCACAGGCTCTAATGCCCTCTACTTAACCTCAAGATATATTCTTGACTTGACAGAGAGATGTTGTTTTTGTTATTATGTTTGAAACAGAGAAGAAGCCTAAAGGTGGTGATCCGAAGATGAACAAATGCGTCTGTTCAGTCATGTAAGAGAGTAGCAAAAATCTCAAAAGAGAAGTCAGATTTGTGTTCCTTAAGATTGGTCTCTGGTGTGGTTGGTATAGATTGTTTACAGATACAGATACAGAATTTAAAGTGTTGAACCATTTTTTTTTTTAAAGTAAAAAATCAAATCTCTGCTTTAACTCTGTTTCTTAGTTCCTCTGTTTTCGTCAAAGAATTGCAAAATGTTTTATCTCTCTACATTTTGTTCAAAAGAAAAAAAAATTTTTTTTATCTCTATGCACAATTACACACTATCCCACACAATAAAATTCTTCAATCACGAGTCGGGCCCCATTTAGGTTTCGTTGAGAACTGTAACATAAACATACTCTGTTCTCTGCTTGACTAAACTCACAAGAAGACATGAAGAAAGACACCGAAATGATAATGTATCACCATTATATATCATCAAGATTTAGAATTGGGAAGCAAAAACAAAAGAAATCATCAATATTTCTTGTTAATAACAAATGTAATTAGGGATATAAATCTAAAGATCATGGCCGCCTTAATTTTTTGTAAGGCCTAGGTAATAGGTAAAAGAAAAATCTTTGGACCATTTTTAAGAGAAATTAAAAAAAAAAATTGGGCTTTTTTTCTTAAAGAATTTAAATTTTTTTGACGTGGAAATGTATTCATCATTTGGAAAAAAGTTTAAAATTGTTGACAAGTTTGCAGTAAAGATTCGAGCTATCTACAAAAACACAGTTCCCGATGAGCTACTTGGCTTCATGAGGCTAATAAACTATGATCAACTAGAAGCTATCTCTTTTGAAGATTATATGGGTCTAATTCATTCTCGGAAGTTTGATGAGTTTTTGGAAGCTAGAACAGATGGAGAAGATTTGTAATGTCATAGGATCTCAAATTAATGGCATGACCAATCAAGGTTTGGAATCCATTATTCAACTTTTGGGTTTTGGTGGATAAAGGTCCCAATTTGATGAAGAAATTGTTTGGTTCTGTGAAGAGTTATAGTGAGGCGAGTTGTTGTGAAGATCCCAATTTGATGAAGAAATTGTTTGGTTCTGTGAAGAGTCATAGTTACTTAGTTATAGTGAGGCGGGTTCTTGTGAAGATCCCAATTTGATGAAGAAATGGTTTGGTTTGGTTCTGTGAAGAGTTATAGAGAGGCGAGTAGTTTAGAAAATTCAAAATTCCGAATTTGTTTTCTCATGTAATAGTGCGATGGTGGGGTACAGTTTAGGGTTTTCCAAAGGATTTTGTGTAAAAAAACTGCTCATAAATACAAAGTTGTTATCCATATCATGAGATCCACCAGGGTGGTCGAGGTAGGTTACTTTAACCACAATAAATAAGCCCGTGACAGAATATTTCTTTTGAATATTGTCATCACAAATTCAAGATTGAGGCTTCTTAGATCTAAGAAGACAGATTTCATGCACATGTCAAAGGGTAACATCTGATTCGCAAGTTCTCCTTGGAGTTGACAATTTGTACCAATCGTGAACATATCTCACATGAGTGTCCATTAATACAGTCAGTTTGATGTGCAACAATATCAATACTAGTAGAGAAAATGTTCATACTAAAATGTGTTTTTTGACGGGATAACAAACTAGTTCTTTGCACTTGTTTACATCAATTGCCGACAAAGTGAAGAATGTTAGTGTGATAATGTCAAAACACCTGAGATCTTCTTAGACAAATATGCTAACCGTGAGATTTTCTAAAGTATATCTTATTTTGGGCTCTTCTTACTTTCATTTTACCAATAAAATTAAAAGAAAAGGAGAAAAAAGGAATATTCATCACCAATAAAACTCATCAAAAGAAAGCTTTTCCTTAACCTTACTTTTTTTTCTTTTTATTACTAAACAATGATACGGATGATTAGAAAGAAATTGTTGCGTCTATCGAAATGTGATTTATCTGCAATTAGCAAAAACAAAATACGTATGCTTTGTTGTCTTTCACCTTTTGCTTGGAATACAATTAGGCGAACCTAAAGTGTACAATATTATGGAAGATTTACCTGAAAAAACTTCTTTGTAACTATCTGTCATTACAAGAACGAATCGTTTCGATGTTCTTAAGATTATTAAAGAGACCAATCATTTTTCTGTTTTCCCATCATCTTCGTTTTCTACCAGAGACTGTCTTTTTCACAGCCCCAACAGAGACTAAAAACTGATCAAGAGAAGAGAGAGTTCTCATATCATCTGGAGGAAAGTAGCTCGCAGCTTTTCCCATTATC